AAATATAATCTTGAACTTCTATTTTGCTGGGATTTCTGATTTATGTTAAGACATTTGAAAGCTTAATTAAATTATATACTGATAAATCCTACAGGAATCTAACCAGAGGCATCATATGAAAGAGTCCCCACCCCATCCCCAGATTTTCAGAGGTCATTATATGAAATAATGACAGGTTTGCACACTATTTGGTAAGAGCAGCTTCGAATACCTCTGTCCTAGACAATCATGACAAATCTTTTCTCTGTGGGCCTGGTGTGTAGCTTTTAGAAACTTAGGCAAATGATGCCCTAAAGGGAAATTTTCAAATTGTACAAATGGACAGCAAATATGTAAATCAGAGGAGTGTCTGGCAGCTTTACATGTGCAAATTCAAAACTGCACTTTGTGGTCAAACCTTTGGTAAAGCTTCTCCCATCAGTATTGTATTTCTCAACATAGCTTTAAAATGTAAGACAAGAGGAGAAAGTGACAACCCCCCTCCCCCCAGCACGTTTCTTGCATATACATCTTAATTTGAAGTGGCTTTATAAAGTCACTAAATGCGAAGAGTAACCAAATTGTGCAGTTTGGAGCATTTAGAATACTTTATTCATCTTAACTCCACCTACATGGAGTGAAGCATTAAGACGCCAATAGCACTTTGCTGCTTTGAATTTTTATAGCATATTAGATCAGCTTTCATCACCATGAACTCATCTGTAACAAATTACAGGCGCTTTAATTTCTGTGAGCTGATTTGGTCAGTACTAATAACATGTTTAGAGCTCTCTGATCCCCAAGTTTCTACATCAATTAAAATTCTTTGTCCTAAATTTAATTTATATAATCCAATTTATATACTGACTTTTCAACTTTTAAGCCAGTCTTACTTAGGAACAAACGTCAAGGGTTAACATTATTTTTAAAAGAAGCTCAAAAAATATACCTTCAAATATTAAAAATGTCTAATGGAAATTCTGGCTTAGTCATAAATTTATAATGACTGTTCAATCAGTATATTTTAGATATCATAGATTAACAGACACATTTACAAAGAC